TGTTCCTGCCCTTATTGTGCCTATCCAGACCGTTTTCCGACCTCATTACTGCACAATAATATCAGAGGGGGCTTCGAATTCAAAAAATGTGCAAATCTCTGAAACCACTTTTTTGTGAACTGTGCCTTTAAATATAGTTATTGTAAAAAGGTGTTGTGAAAACCACAACTCAATTATTGCTCGTTTGATCCGAGGGCGTAGCTGCGGGAAGGATCAAGATCTGTCACAAAAGTATTTATGAGGGATAATTCTTAGGCGAACATGTGCTATCCTGACCTACATAGAACTTTCCATGAAATGTTGAATTCCTTGGTGACAAAAAGGAACGGCAATCATATGTGTGTCAGTAGAAAGGAAGGAAAAATTGTCTGCATTACATCAGGTGAGGTATTTGGTCCGCAATCGAACGGTGCTTTGAGACTGTGCGCGGCAGCTTCGGGAATTATGCCGCCGGGAACGCATAAATCGATTTACACGCAGCGCATGACATAAGTATAGATACCTCTATAGGAACACCTTCGGCCGTCTTCAGAAGACTTGTCTTTTTATTCAGCAAAACACCGTATGAAGGCTACTTCTGAACTAAAGATAAATCAAGTCATCTTCACAGATTTCAATTTTAAGGGGTGTACAGTAAGCTCGGGTCCGGAGTCTTCCTTCCCGAACACTGCGTCGCGCTTGCCGCACCCGTCGCGTCTCGCAGAAATACGATGGAATATCGGAACGCGCAATCTGCGAGTCGAGAGTCCTTTAATTATTTTCATTTGCTGGCCACTTTCTTCAATCCCATTGCGGTCTTCATCGTACATAGAGAAGGAGTCATTCCGAACAACTGAGTCTAATTAACATAAAAACAAAAAAGAACCGGAAGGAAACGATCAAAAAAGAAAGGCAGTCAACGAAAAATGTGGTGTCCGATCGATCGGGGGGGGGGGGGGGGGGACGGAACTTACGTGCGTCCGAGTATGCGCGCGGCAAATTGCACGGCGAAGTGCATAGTGATTCGAACGACTCTGGCACCTATTGTTGGGGCCCAAATTTGAAGTAGAGTAGATTAGTAGTATCAGCTGATCCTTCTTAACTACTGTCTTTCAAATTTGAGCCCCAATGATAGGCGCCATAGTCCTTCGAAGCACCACGCACTTGGCCGCGCAATTTGCCGCGCGCATCTTCGGACGCACGTACATATGTACCCATACCCATCGGTCGGAGACGATCCAGGAATGGTGATTGCAGTTTGAAGCGGCGAGACAACTAACAAAATTTGCCGCATGCCGCAAGGCGACGTGGGAAATCGGGGAGAAGTTCTGCCACCCGATCCTGTGACCCCAAGGAAGCATAGGGACACTGTCAACTCCAAAAACGACATAGATATAGCGTGATGAAGTTCCCAAGACAGGTTTAGCCGACGTAGACACCCATAGGCGGGCGAGTTCTAACGGCGTTGTGGACTCTCACTCTTGCCCTCATCTTTTCGTCCAACGCCTAAATTTACTACTTTTCCTATGCCTTATTTTTATCCGAATACACCGGTTTTCGTGTTTTTTGCCGCTTTTGCCAAGAATTTGCTGTTCCAATGTTTCACAGCCATTTCCGGATCCCTTTGAAATTCGTACCGTAGTAAGCCAGAAGCCAACCTATTGTGTCACTAGGTTTTAAAAAAATAGCTCTGTTCCCAGTATTTTTGAACCAGGAACCCGCAGAACCATCACCCGCCAATATCACTGCGTTCACAGTCCCCATTTGCCGTATATTTCGAAATGGGCGCCTCCATCGATTGGGAATCAAACCCTCATAGGTATCATAACCTGTGGAGGACTGCATATGAGTAATGTCTGACTATTGGGATAACCGCTATCAGGTACTTTCTTTTTCTGCGTGGTTTTCGTATACCGACCCTTATACTAGGGGTGAAGTATGAATTGCACTTGGCGCCTAGCCATGGATTCATTTTAGCCATACGACTGTTCAAGGGTAGATGACTCGTTTTATCCACCTGCATGAGAAATACTGGCTTCCCAATTCTCTCTCGCTCTATCATCATTTTTCTTTTTTCCTCTCTAGGGATTCATCGTAAATTTATAGGGTTCCATTGAAGAACATGAGGAAGCGCTAAGAACGTCCACTACCGTATACGTTGGTAATCTCTCTTACAATGTCACGGAGGACCAGGTACATATGTCTTTGAAGTTGGAACGTATTTCAACCATTTACATTCAGCTGTACGAGCTCTTCGGACGTGCCGGAGAAGTGAAGAGAGTGATCATGGGACTTGATCGTTTCAAAAAGACACCATGCGGATTCTGCTTCGTAATGTAATGCCTTTTCAAACCATAAGTTGTAGTCATAAATTAGTCCTTTCTAATATACAACAGTTACTATACTCATTCGGACGCATACAATGCTATTCGTTTCCTGCACGATACCTTGTTGGGAGGACGCCCTATTCGTGTGGATTGGGATGCAGGATTCAAAGAAGGACGACAATATGGTCGTGGAATGCATGGAGGACAGGTATATGCTATGATTTGACATATCTGATTGAAAGTGCCATTGGATAGTTGATTTTCGGGCTGTTTGAGGGAAACTTATGCTATTACTTGCTTCAAATAAGACGTTAATGTTCGCTCGCTTGGAAACGTTTTATGAAGGCTAGATTTTTAGAAATTTTGGAATGGAGAGCTGCTGAAAGGGAAGCTCCTGTAGCACCTTTGACATGATCTTTTCTCCGAATACCATAAGCTCTCAACGGCACAGTTCACGAATTTTGGGTAATCCAGATTATAATGAAAAATGGACGACAAGATCGGAAATAGTACGATGAAGGTGAAGAAACTGCGTGAATCGGTGTTTCCAAAGTGAAAAAAAGCTTCGAAAAACCTTTAAAAAGGGGGCTGGACGAGAATGAGACCAGAAAAATGAAGGTGTGTTGGGCGTTCGGACGAGCTATACAATGTGTCTCACTGCGTACGTGTGGGTCCTGGTGCGAACAACAGAATACGGTGGGCAAAAATGCATTCGCTTAAAAGCATAAGTAAACAAAAAAACCTTAGTAAGAGCAAAAGTAGCTCACCTTTTTCAGCCTCTAGGAGTAGCAAATCAAATAAGGGATCGCGGCAGCAAAAAGTATAACAAAAGAAAAACCAGTGGGAGAAAAACGCCGCCTCATCACGCGGCGATCAGCTGATTGTGAGTGGGTCCTAGAACGAATAGTCGCATTCTGTATTGTCTCGACACTCCTCTGACGCGACATCGATCGATGGGCGGAAGACCGGGGCTTTCCCGCCCTTCGAATTATCGTGAACTGTGCCTTTAATACCCTCCCTCAACAATAAGATACCTGTTTACTACGAAAGTTACAGGTTCGCGACGAGTACAGGGACTTTTATGATCCCGAACGTGGTGGTTTCGGCAGAGCGCTTCAAAGCAATGGGTTCAACAATAAGGAGGAGCAAGGAGCACGTTGCTATCGTAGTTCTTAACTATGCCATGTAGTTAGTTCTCCGTTTCACTAACAATACACGCAAAAAAGAAGTTATCTCTTATTTTCACACCCATACTGTTTGTGTAAATAAAGATTGAAGCCCGGGAAGCTTTATATCCAATCACATATATAACTACAATGAAAAGAAGAATCTACTATACTTGTCTAATATGTTGTCGCTTCTGCACAATCAGCTCGAACCAGGCATTGTCTAAGCGATGGGCCAATCCCACTGTCCCTTTGGTGCGGGTTCAACAAGCGGCTCCCATGCTCTCGATGATATGATGGCCCTTGCAGCTTCAAGCTCGAGTTCTGCCTAAAATTATAAGCCATGCTGGGTTAAAGAGAATAAAGGCGAATGTGTAAGGCAGGTCAAGTACCTATATGGAGAATAAATACTGAGAAAATATTACCTGTTCAATAACCTCCTCTATTTGCCCCATTCCAATCTTCTCCTCTAATACGGGGATGCTATCTTCAGCTTGAACCAGTGCCAGGCGTTGCTTTACAATCTGAAATCCAAATTTCCATGAGGCAACAAATGTACTACTTGAGATCAACTGAGATCAACTTGCTCACCGCTTCAGTGTATTTCCTATAGGCTGACGTAGGTGGGATCTGTTCCAGAGCCTTTAGGATTCGGCAATACACGACATTAAGAGTACGGTGAGGATTTTCATTCACAAAAAGGCCAGTGATCCCTGTGGTCTGAAAGACAAATTATTATGAAGTCTCTCTAGACCGGATAATGAGTTAGGTATACTTCTCAACCGCTCCAAAAGTGAGTTCTCTATAAGCAAGCGAAAGGTTTTACACTACAAGTGGTAAAAATAAGATACAGAGCTAGTCTACGCTATTAAGGTCATCCTAGATATGTTAGCACTCGGGCATATACCTCTAAAAAATTATTTGAATGAAACGGTCCCTATATAAAACTTGTAAGTTTATTTCTGACGGGAACGAACTCGGAACAGAGATAGGGATAGACAGAGATAGAGCAAGAAAAAACTCTCGCATCCATCGAGAGTGTCATGGAGTTGATGCGAGGAGTTATTGATTACATTAAATATAAGAAGACTATGATGTTGGGCATGGAAAGATACAACAGATCAATGGTGAGCGCATGAGGAAAATAAGAGAGAATCTTCCAGAGATCTTTGGCCTGCTCAAAGAGAACAAAGCGACTTACTTTCGGGAAATATATAGCATGCGAGGTGACCAATTTTCCAAAACTTTTGATAGAGAATAGTGATTCTTGAAGTTTACTGACCTTCTTGTAGAAATCTGGAGAGACTTTACTTCTTTCTTTGAATCGAGCGATATAGGGATTCCTATACATATTCCGAATAGCAACACGACTACCACATGCCGCTTGAACAAGCCGTGATGCACCCAGTGACATCTGAAAATCCAACAACAATCTTTGCCTTCCATCGAAAAGTTGTTTACTGTCCGGTTGTTTATTGTTTACAAACTTCTAAGCGCACAAAATAGTAACTTCTCAGGCAAAAACTAAAGTACTGAAAGTTGAAAGTGGGAAGTGGATTTGAGGCTCAGTTATGAAATCAGTCAACAAGCATGATTTGAACATCCAACAGAACTGGTAGGAACGAATCAGATAAAAGAGCTTTTCCTCCGTCTCCATTGGTTCCTAGTAATGTCTACCAACCATCGAGCTGCTTAGTAACTCTTCGAAACCATCAACGAGATGACTTGCCTTTGGGAATTAAGCAGAAAAACTAAGGAAACGCACGTAAAGAATGATATTTTTGAGATCAAAAATTCTTAAAGCTGCTATTTCTTCCAAAATAGATATAACTAAAGCGACCTGACAAATATGAAAGCCCTCACAACAATTATTTCCAGTTGCATTCCAATAGAACGGGCCGAACTTGATATAGTGCAAGCGCAGAATACTTGTAGTTACCGTAACTTTACGGCTATTTTTGTGTGCTGCAGAGCTTAATTGGCACTACCCTCCTACCCTAACTTCATTTCCGTATTTCTTCGAATTTCCAAATCCTGGGCAAGTGATAAAGGGGAAAGAAGTAAATGGTGGACAAATAGGTTCGAACGCAAGCTATGATTATTTTGCATCCTTTGAAGCTGCCGGGAAAAAAACTGGAATCCGACCTCACTAAAATTAAGGCCTTCCCACACCTCGTGGTCCTCGTGATGGACGTATTGAAGATTAAATCTGTTTAAGAAATCAAATTCGGCATACATTGTGATGGTGCCTGAACCTCTAGCACTCCAACCGGTACGGCCATGGATCCCGCCCCTGGTACTCTCCCTATCCGTTCTCTATTGCGCCTACATCTATAAGGCACTTCACACAGTGTCGAGAAAATCGAACACCCATAAGAACAGTGCCCGTACCCAAAACATGGAACGCCTGGCTCCACGGGGCGAACCGGTTCGCACTGGGGCGCCGTGTTCCTGCGGAGCGGTGCGTTCGCCTTTAGTGGCAGTGGCTTTTAATTAATCCTATGTGAAACTTTTTTTTTGAGATTACTTCCTTCATAATTCTTGTAGCATTTTATTCGTTTGATATTACAGAACATCATTTCACTTTTAAAAATGGCCTTTTAAGGAAACCTGGAATCAGTACACTTGAACCATGTTTTCATCGTCGGGATTCTCCCTAGTGTCCGCATTTTCCGACGATGGTCAACGATTAAATCGGTCACAGAAGATTCATCGAGGTATCTTTTATTCGTTGAAAAAACGGCCAATGTTTTTTTTTCTTTTCTGGCACAGAGTTTTTACATTCGTGTAGGTGTTCAGGGGTTTTAATGCCATTCTGTTCATTTGGATATTTTGGGCCTTTCCATAGCACATTCAACCAATCAAAATATGCGGTTCTGCATATACTAATTATTGATCGGCATAGGGCGAGCGTAGTACATGTATCCTTCGCGCGCAGTCGCGATACATTCAATTCCGTTACGCATTTTGAGGCCTGCTCTACCCGGAACTGAGCCGTGGCATCATGCTGTTCGAAAGAGGGACTTCTCCTTAAATGCTTAATTTATTTGAGGTGAATGGGTAGAAAAATGATGAAATGATGTACATTGATTTTGCAAATGGACTAGCCAAGGATTTATGCTTCATGGCCATCTATGTACTGCGGGCGGAATCGCCAAAAAAGGTGGAGAAAAGTGATATAGGTAAACGAAGGCTAGCATATCAACTCATCGTTAATGCTAAGAATCACTTGGAAGGGTTTTCATGCTCCTAAGTCCTTGCTCCATTTCATGAAGTCTACTCCTCGGTGTTTTCCACTTCTGCCAAAGTTCGTGATCCAAACAAAACAAAAACTAGTTTTTTCGATTTTCGAGAATGAGTGATGCTCCGAGCGCTTGATGTTGTGACTTTGTATCGAAGATGAATTTTCTAGGCAAATCGCCTTGAGACTTTGATTTGAAAAAATTGAGCAGGTCTTTGATTTGCAAGTCAATTGCTGCCTGTTTCTCCTTGCACACTGATCGAAAAGACGGGTAAGGGAAAGTTTCTCGTAGTCAATAATGGATGTAAGGCAACAAAAAACATGTGCTCTCCAGAATTTGGCCATATAGATTATTCTTTTCAGGGAATTCGCATGAATGAAGGCAAACATTCAATTCACGTTATCCTGAATGTGAATATTTCAATGGCCTTTTTTCAGAAAATGAGCGGACCAATCTATTGACAATAACAAGAATTGTGTTGCGGGCGTTCTTGGAACAAACTATGGCTGACAACAATCGAATACTTGAATGTGACACACAACAAATCAGTGACTTACTAATGATGCTTGAAAAAGTACTTTGGCATGGATTCAAGGCTCCAGGTACTGAATCATGAAAATAATTGATCATTTCAATTGCCCACAAATTATTGATAGCGATGTATTCCAGGGCAGAAATCTTTGATTGTTATGAAAAGCCCTGATGCTGAAATGTGGGCTACAATCGTTAAAATAGCAAGGACAGATGCAGCTATGCTAGAGACTGCTACTTGTGTCGATCAGATCGAATCCCTTTTGTAAGTTCTCATGTCAGTGGTTCTCATTTCATCCGTACAAGTCCTCTTCAGCAGGGAGTGTGGCAAACTCTAAATTATGTGGAGCGTGTCCGCTTGTTTCGTTTTTGTGGAGACTACTACTTGTATACATCATTTATCACATTTCGATGATTTTAATTGTTTCAGGACACCCATAGCTCGATTGCGAGCGTTCCTTCGTCTTGCCATGATGCAAAAAAAGATTTTTGATTTCTTTACTGTCATATCTAACTCTCCACTTCTGAAGTAAGTCGTTTATGTTTTCCATTCTTGAATCTTTTACCAAAATATTCTACTTAAGAGTTTTCTACGAGGACTGGGCACTGTTGCGGCAAGAAGAAATTGTGCAGCTTACTGGGGCTCTACTTGGTTTATCTGTGGTAGACTGCAATCTTGTACTAGAACACGACCATCTACAGGTGCATCAAAACTTTGAGCTTATTTGACTGCTCATGTTCATTCATTTTTTGTTCCTCCAGGGATTCAGCACACTTTTAGAAAGGCAGTTTGCCATATATCCCATATTTGCTCTTCAGTTCTTTTTACACTTGAATTATCCTTCCTGCTTTTGCAGTTCATTAAGCATTTAATGGAATGAATTAGTATTCATTATTTCCACCGTCAAATGGTATGCCGACTGAGACCTTCATTGAGAAAAAGAGAACGCAATCTATTTTGTGCTCCTTTGTATCACTTTTTCTTTACAGGAACAGCCCCTCAGTGTCGACTTATCCCTGTATATACGCACTCCCACGATACCAACTGAAGGAGAAGATATGGCTACCGCAAATGGAACTGCTAGTCAGAGCAAAGAGAAGAAAATGCTTTTGGATCAAAACAATTATCTGGAAGAGAGAAATAGACAACTGCAGTGAGTGCTTCAGTGTTGCTGTTTCAGATGCTATAGCCGCTTTTAAAAGTTGAGTTATCACCCTATTCGTTTTACGATGAGATAATATAAACTCCAGAGTGTTCAGTGAAACTTTTTTCTTTTTCTTCACTTCTTGTGACTTTACAACTCGGCTGGGGTTAAGCAGAAACGAGTGACGCTGCTTTCATGCTCAGGTAATATATACTTCCCATTTCCCCTGGGTAAATGGTCACGTTCCTCTTAAATCGAAAAACTGAGAAGCGCCGTTCGATCTGTCGGATATTTCAGTTTCGTTCTCTCAGTTGCGGCATTCTTTCAAATAAGGCGGGTGACATATACTGCGCACCGTTCTTCATTTCCTGAGAACGCTAAGAATAATTTGTTTATATTCGTCAAATTTTTAGTGAAAGGGTTCTAGTGGAGCCGCGTTTTTGAAGTTTTTCATTTCTTGACCGTTTGCCCTTGAACAGCTCTTTATTCTTCAAGGTGTAATGTGGATAATCTCAAGAAAAAGCTCAGTGCTCTGGAAAATGAACATGAAACGAAAGCTGTCACCATGGAGAAAGAGGTGAGTCTTGAAATCAATCAGGGCGTGCTCTTTTTCTAACATATTTCAATTATCAGAAAGCTGTTGTGAAGTTATTTCTCCGTCCTATCTGAGTGATCGTTTTCCCTACTTAAACACAGGGTATTATTTTATTCAGTATTTGTAGCTGGTCTCCTTTAAAAATATCGATCATGCTGAAGCTAGCAAACCGTCCGGAAGCAAGGAAAAAGAATGGGAAGAGGAAAGAGAACGGCTACTCGGGCAGGCAAGTTTCTAATGTATTCTTGGCCTTACATGCTGTAGAAATAGTTTTACTTCAGATAGTAGAAAGGGAGGACTCCCTAAGAATCGTTCAACAGCAGCTCATTGATACGAAGAAGATCAATACTGACTTATATGATAAACTGAAGCTAGCTGATGAGAAATGGCGGAAGTTGGAGAGGGACCTATCGAAGATTCGGGAACAGTACATGGAGGTAAAGATTTCCCATTCCGCCTGTCGCTTTACTCCATGGCTGGCTTTCACTATTTCATTGAACTGGAGTTTTTCGTGGTAGCTATAGATTCTGCGTCCATTAGCATGCCTTTATGGATAAATCCTGTTAGTGGGCAAACTTTCACACCTTCATACACAGCAAATTCTGTCAGTGGAATGCCAAACTTCTCATGGGCTACCATCGCGCAGTACGTCAAGCCACCAATTGGAACACTGCTGGGTATGCTTGATCGCGTTCCTTATTTGCGAAGCGGACTGCGTTTTAATGCTTCTAAGAGAAACTAATCGGAACTCTGGGTCTATCGGAAAGCCTTTTGGCATAGGATCAATTGTTTGATTTGAAGGAGAGTGAATCTCTGAAGAAGACCATCTCAAAGCTAGAAATGTCAAATGCCGTTCTGCAGGAGAATGTCAAGAAAAGGAATGAAAATGACCGTGAGTACCGATAATTCTTAGTTACTGGAGCATTTTCTTAAGAGTATTAACTCATACTTATGCAACTTTTGAAAATGCTTTTCTTATATCGTTGTTTCGATCTTTCTCATTTTGTAGAAGCAATACGAGCTGAACTTGAGAAGAAATATGGTCAACACACAGAACTGGTTGGAACCCTGCAGGAGAAGCAAAATGCTCTAGCCCAAGTAAGGTTGTGGCATTTTTATCACGGAAACTAATAATTATGGGAAGCTGTTTAGGCTGAAAGTGAACTGTTAGTGTTGCGACGGAAAGTTGATTCACTGGAGAAGGAATTGAAGGAAATGCCATTTTTGAAAGAAGTTAGTATTTCATTATTTTATTTAGGGAATCCAAACTCGCTCATTACATAAATCCCGTAAGTAACATGTATCGGGATAAACTGCTATAATTCTAGGAAATGCGGGAACTATCTGAGAAGTATGCATCTGTCGCTGAACGTGCTGAGCAATCGGAGCGAGCCCTAGAGGAGCTGGGAGGTCACTTGAGCGAGTACGTCTCATACGAGTCCAAGAATCAACTGCAATAGCTCAGATTTAAAAAGACTTTTTCAGGTCGAAGCTCCGTATGTTGGAACTTGCAGAGGAATTGTTACCACTTTCTGATGCTCATTGGGCAAATGACTCTGATGTCACGCAATGTAGCGCATGCTCAGAGAAGTTCTCGATATCGAAACGCAAACATCACTGCCGGTTTGTTTTTAGTCGGCTGATATTCAAATGACTTCAGCAGCGTTCCCTACTTTGCCACGTATATGTAGGTCGATGCCTTTTCAGTTCAAAACTGTTCGGTGTAAAAATCGATCAGGTAGGAAGAAATAGCTACACCACAGTATTGGCTTGTGTTGAATGCGTCTTTCATATCAGAGGGGATCTTATCAGTCTTAGAAGTCAATCTCCGAATTCGGTTCACAAGTCTGTAACCAACATTCCATACTAACGATATGCTTAATTCTTTTTTCGAAGTTTCGTCATAAACTGGATTCTTTTGTGTTCCGGGACAACTGAGCGACGTCATCTAACGTCAGCGCTATAATAGGACCACCCACTGTTTGAGTACCAATCGTTGGCCCCATTACTGTTGAATGTTAATTATCCAATTTTTCATGAATTTCAGGATGTGTGGTTCGATATTTTGTGCGTCCTGTAGTGAAGGAAGGATAAAACTGCCGTCAAACTCGAAACCAGCCAGAGTCTGTGACCAATGCTTTACGCTACTGAAAAATCGACATTCGGGAAATGTGTAATTTATTCGTTTAGGGGTTATCAAGTATGATTTTCTCCTTATATAGTGATATGTGTTTGAGTTATTTTGCCCATTTGTGTAGTCCATTCTTTGTGATGGTTTCTGTACGATTTGACCATTTCCCTTCAAGTATTCATGCTTGCTGTGCCTTGGTACTGCTTAGTTTGTGATAGTGGACCTTTTGATCTGTTCATTTGTGCTGTGATGTGTATTGCGGATTCGTTTATGTTAGGTTTACTAGAATATTGTATGTAATTTTATGTGTTAGCGCTGTTTTGTTCGAATGCTGCTTCCATGCTAGGTAAGGCGTTGCTATTGCTGTTCAGCGCTGTCGTCCGTACTTGATCATACTGTCGACTTCGCGTTAAATGTCCCATTTACACTACGTACACTGTCAAGCGCCGGTCATCAAGCTGCCAAGCAGCAGCCGGCAGCCTGTTCGCCAAGTATGAAAGCAGTCCAAGCGTTTTGTGTTTTGATGTTCTTGAATTTACCTCAGCCTTTTCTTTTCAACCTGGTACCGATGCTGATATATCGTCGTTTGCTAGCCATAATTAACATATCAAAATTGTATATATTATTGTAATGAAGAGATATAATTGTCAAATTTTCATACAAGGAGTCTGTTCCGAAAGTAAAATGCCGTAAGAGATAAGGAAGACTGCTAGTGGCCTCACTGTAATAGGCCATAAATCCGACTTCGAATGGATTTGTTCGAGAGGTGGATAGCGTACATCTCTTTTAAAAGAATTTGCAAAAGCTAAAACTCGGCAATATTGAACCTACGGTTTTTGGCAAATGCTGAATGACAGCACACATCGCTAGCCGGCGAACGAAATTTACCTTGAAGCGTTTCAGCTTATGCGATAACCAACATGCTCCGGAATAGGTATTGATTTTACGCGCGTGTAGTCGATATCCATCGTTTCGCTGGATCTTGAAATATGCAGGTTAAGAGTGTGACAACAGCTTTGGCCTCGACAAAGCAGGTCACCGAGTAGCTACTCTGTATTTCTGTAATTGCTGTAACTCAATACCTCTTTATGAGATTATAACATGTCGAATAGATCAACCAACTATTTAATTATCCAATTTATGATTTTAACAACATAACAAAATTGAAACTGCCATTGATTCCTTATGTGACGATATACAAAAAGAGATCACATTCGAATGAGGGTGAGTATCACATCAACAAGATACTTGGCACGAAATTTTTGTAGAAAATGACCTTCTTTCACAAAGTTGACTGACACCGTCTGATAGCCCCTTGAGAAGGCTCTAATAGTGGCTCTTGTAATCTCGTCGCTATCCGGGACAGCACATTCCTGGAGAAAATGAATTATTTCGTGACATGATACTAATTTTTGCGTTAGCGCAGCCCAAACGCTCTGTACTTGGTGGGTTTTTTTTTACTCCCAGACGTCTGGTCCGGTTAGCTGATCCCAGGTAGCGGAAAACTTGGCAGGCTTGAGCAACTATCTCACCGAGATTCGATCCTCGGACAACGCTTGTGAGAGAGCGCCTCTCGCTACTACACCACTCCCGTGCCAAACCTTAGACAGACCTACCCACTGATTTCTTAACCTTTGTTTAGTACTCATCAACACAAGTGGAACAGTATCCACTTCTTCCTTATCTACTGATCCTTTTAACTGAACTTATTTCAGACTTCATGGTATGCATGAGTTACTAAGCCTACCAGCTTACTGCCCAAATGTAATAGGGAGAGCTTCAATTGGTCTCCGACTTTTTTCTTCCCGCAAATGACTTTCATCGATACCTGCGAAGGGAACTAAAGTAAATATAAGCTGGACATTCCGGCAGATTACAAGTTGACACCTCGGATAAGGACTTTGATCAGGTGTAGAGGATACAACTTAGGCTGCAATGCACAGTGTGCCTTTGCGCATCCGTCATTACCAGTCATTAGTCTCCTACCGTAAAGCTGCGGAAATCAGTGCAACATAGCGCTAAATACTACTAACTACTAAGAAAAGTTACCTACCAATTCGATTCGTCTTTCCAGTTTCGATGCAAGTTCTTTGCTGACTTCGGCCTCTATCAGGAAATCGCTTCCAGAATACGCATGCAGAAATCGAACCTGTGCAGAAGAGCCATTTTCTAATGAATTATCATGATACCGTTTTAATCAATCTTCACTGGACAGAGTAGTTCACAATGCAGTGATTATAAGGGATTCCTCACACTCACTCACTGGTTCACATCATTTTAGGGCACTCCTAGTCTTCCTCCTATTGCCCTCCTGGGTGAAAAACATGAGTCTCCATGCGGTCACCACGCCGAAATGAGGCCATTGCGTCGAAGGAGGTTCTGAACCCATAGCTGATCTTAAGTGGTTATCCCTAGCTGGGTATCTCGACTCTGAGAGAGACTTCTGGTATGCACCTACTAGCCTACCACGGTAGCAGCGAAGGAGCAGAGCTGTGGGGTTACTGTTTAAGTGTTCCACAACTAGTGACAATCAAATTCAGCGACAAATTAGGCTATGCCCACGCCTGCTGCAAACAGACACCATTCATTACTACTTTCCTTATTACTGTCCCCAATGAGAAACCAGTTCCTGAAGTGATCTGCTCTCAAAAAAATGTTAAAATGCTACCTGATTATTTTGATTTATGGCGTCTAGACATGGCATTATGCGACTGAGAGCAAATGTGCGCATTGAGCGAAGTGCCGCTTCAGCAGCTGAACCCGACGGTACACGGAGACCGAGAGCATAGTTGTACACTGAAATGGACCTTAACTTTTTCAACCTCTCTCCTTCTTATGAAGATGTCCGAGCTGCTGCCATTGTAGCAATTAAGTATTTTATGACCACGACTAATCCAAGCACTCACCAATATATAGAAGGGGGTGAAGAAAGAAGTTCAATACACGGAGGTCTAACAATCGTAGGGTGATGCTGATCTTCCAAAATGGCTCAAGACCTCGATGTATTCGGAGACCCGCCGAGTTGAGCATAATCACTCCATGAACGTTTTTCTGAACGTGCCCACCAGACTTGAACAGCTGATCCAAAAAAATATGATGACCTTAAACTTACAATATTCAGGGGTGATGTTGCCATTTGTAGCGCATTCTCTCCGCCTCGAGAGTGACCGATGAAGTAGAGCCGAGGTGATTCGAAGTTGTCTACGCTGTCCAAAACTGCTTGAGCAAATTCATTTCGTTCGTCGTTCTCAAAGGACAGTCGCCGATCACCTTAATACAATTCTCCTGCTGCTATGTTTGCAAATGAAAGTGAAAATGAAGCAGTCGGAGGAGACCCAGCTCTCAGCAATCCCGCAAAATCAAATCTGCCCACGGCAATGAACCTTTTTTTATTCAGGATCTGTTA